CATCCTCGGGTCACTATTATAAGCAAATTTAAATTTTTGATAGATTTGAAAATTAATGTATTTAGTCATATGAATTAGATACATTAATTGTCATATGAATTAGATTGACATTATTGAGTCAAAATATATACATTCTTTAATCATTATTATAAACAAATTTGACTTTTTTTTTAGTATATTTGACAAGTGACGTATCTAGTCCATATATGGACTAAATACATTAATATAGAGAATTTCTTATTACACTCTTATGGGATTGAAATAAATTCTTGAAAACTCCAAAATGTCATTCAGATATGCACATATAAAAATGTATTTTCGAGAGATACATATTCGAAAAAACCCTATTTTTTTGTAAAAATAATAATTTCGAATATACATTTTCGAAAAGTTATATGTTAGTGTTTTTTAAAAAAAACAACAACAATTAATTCGGAATAAAACAAAAACAAAATCAAAGTAAATTTAAGATTTAGAAAATAAAAAACTATTTTATAATAAATTATGAATAATTAAAAATAAATGAGTGAGTTATTAAACAAAAGTCAATAAATTTTTTAGCAATATTAAAAATTATTTTACCAATATAATTATATATTTTTTATTTAACTTTTGTATTGATTTGAAGATATCATTTTAAAAAATTTTAAAAGACATTTATCACGTTATTATTACAAATATGATTGTTTTATTTCTTATTATTGAGTTCTTTTTTCATTCTTAAGGATTTAATCAAGATAAATAGATAAAGTATTATTAAATTTTTAATTTATAAAAAAAAACAATATATTTTAAAAAATATAATAAATAACTTTTTAAATATATATATTTAAAATTTTATAAAAAATAAGATTTATTGCGATATACATATTTGAATATATATATATTTTAAGAAATAAAATATTTTTAAATATACATCTCTAAAATTAAATATATTATGAAAAAAAATTGTTAAAATATACATATCTGAATTTAAAAAATATTATGGAAATTTTATTAAGAACATCTAAAAAAAAACATAAAGTGTATTAAGAAATTGTGATAATATATATGAAAAATACATTAACGGTTAAATAGTAAGGAGGGTGTAATTGAAATTTGAAACATTTCAGTCAACACAAAAACAAAAATTTCAAAAAAATCTATACTTGACTCGGAAGGGTTTTTGAAGGCTCAAGGGTTTTGGAAATGAATTCACTCCGGCGAGTATGGTCTTCATCGAACTCGGCGTTACTCCGTTTCCGATATCGAAATAGCAGCTACTATTCCTCCACCACCACCACCACCACCACCGCCACTCGAAAATTCAAATCCAAGTTTTCAAAACCCACCGAGATTCCATTTCAACCCAAACTCGCCAACTCCGTCAACCTAATCGGCTCCGTTAACAAGGCAGTTCAGTTCGAAACATCCACCGACGGAAACCCCTTCGCCTCCACCGTTATCTCCACTCTTCACCATAACCCTTCTTCCCTTTCGATTCCCGTTGTATTTCAAGGCGATTTAGCTCATATTGCTAACTTTCATCTCAAACAAAACGATGTTGTTCATGTTGTTGGACAAATCAGTGCTGATCCCAAACATTCTAAACCTCAGTATCAGTTTCAGGTTTGTTAATGTAATCTAACAAGTAACTACCTTTTTTTTTTTTGCTCCTATGTCTTATTGTTTCTTCTTCTTGTTTCTATTAGGTTATGGTGCAAAGCCTTAGCTTTGTTCAAGATTATCCTCTTGTGAAGAAGGCTTCTTTAACTTCTAAGCAAACGTTTGATTCTTCTTCTGGTAAGAACTAACTAGTACAAATTCCTTGTTATTTTCTGAATGGAAAAGTTGATGCAATAGAAATTGAATGCACTAGTAAATCTCAAGCATGTGTTTGGTTAAGTTAAGAATCACAATGTCATGACAAACTTCACTAATGCTCTATTCGGACGAACAATTTTATTGAGCGCTTATAGCCTCGGCCGTCTTTGAGGGTGTGTAACCGCACATGGACTAAATGGGTCTCATAAAATCTTTATCACTATTAAAGCGTGGTTGAATAGGGCTCTAATTATTTTGTTATGGTTGAATAGTGACTAACTTACACAGGGTCTCCAAAAACTTAAGACGACTTAGTTTATAGCATAGTCACGTATCTTTTATGTGGCAATGCATAGCCTATTTCTATGATAAAAGATCAATGAAGTTAAATTGTTTCATAAGCTATCTTGGAGAGCTTTTATGGAAATAAGCTGAAAACAATTAGGTGAACATTTTATAAGCTTTCCCAAACGCAGTTTCACGAGTAGCTATGCCACTGAATAAGCTCAAATCTAAAGAGGCTCTAGCTCTATGATTTGCAGTTTCTATAAAGCCACGTTGAATATGCATAGTGTTAGGACTTAGGAATGTAGGAGTACGCATTTTAAGAGTGTTTTCTTGGAGGCCTGGACATGTATAAATAGAAGTATAAGGGGAGATGCATTCGATTCTATTTTCTTGTAACCATTGGGCTGTAACTGCTTTTGCACTTGTAAACGAAAAATCCATTAATCAATAAAACTCTCTTTTGCAGAAGTGGATCCAAACATACTGTAAAAATAGTGTATCTTTGGTTTCAGGGCAGAGGTTTTTTGTAAAAGTACATATTTGGTTTCAAGACACCAAACCTCATTTTGAGTTTTTGACGGAAAATGTTAGGAGTAGCTTTTGCAACTTAACCTAAGTTTTTAGATAAACATGCTTTTAGAGTGAAAATGCAGCTTATATAACTACCTCCTAACTTAATTTTAACCAAATCAATTTCACAATATCAAGTTTAGACAAATGTTCACCTTAACACTTCAATAATTTATTGGCATGGTTCTATAATAAATTGGGACTAAATGGTTTAACAAAAACTTCTTCATAACTTATTTTCTTTTTCACTAAGATGTTTTCTTTTTACATGCTAAAAAACTTTTATTTAGAGGAAAAGTAGGTGAAGCATTGTTATTACTTACTATATTAAAGTTGACAAATATTAATGAAAGTGAAAATTTTGTAAGTGTGTGATGCTTTAACTAGCAGTGCTATGCTATGAATTCTGATAAGGTTTTTGTAATATTTTATTTATATGTTATTAGAAAGAGAGGATGAAGAAATCAAGTCATCGGAAAAGGATATCCATTCCAAGCAAACCGAGGAACATGACAAAAGGAAATCTTGGAAGGATGTCCTTAATAAACCTAGTCGATGGCAGGTTTTTCATTCAACAAAGGTTTTTGAATTTTCTCCACTTTTTGATTTGTATCCTTTGTTTTGTCCTTCTTATTTGGCAATAATGATGTATCCTTCATACTTGTTTTCTGAAATTTTGTGCATCTAAATGTAGGAGAGTCCAAAAGGTGCAGCGCTCGAAAGCAAGACGGATGGTCAATTACAACCTGAACTGAAACAAACAATAAGTATGTCTCTTGATTTTTTTTCCTTCTATTTTATAGTAAAATTGGCTCTTTGGGTAGTTTTAAGATCCTCATTATTTCCATTTTGGTCTATTTTTACAGCCACCGCAAAGAAATACCCGGACTCTTTGTCAAATTCTTGGGACTACCTACTAAATGATCCAAAACAGTGGTTGGATTTCCGTGGTAGCAAACGCAGTGGATTGGTAATGATTGATGATGACTTGTTGTATATTTTTCTCTTACACTAATATATATTTGGGGTTTTATATCTATATCTATTTAGTAGGTGAATCCAAGGTACCCTGACTTCAAGCGCAAGGATGGCAGTGTTCCCATCTGGATTGACAAGGCTCCAAAGTGGGTTCTGTCTAAACTAGAAGAACTGGAATTTGACGTTCCAGCTGTTAAATCCAAACAAGCAAAGGACAGTAAACGTCTGTGTAAATTATTTCCTTTATCACAAACTTTTCTATCGAATTCAAATTCATTTTCTTTTATTTCTATAGATGCTTAGCATTTTTATGTTTGGGCAATGTCTTGTGTTTTGTCTGCACTCTGCAACTCAAGATTCCTCATGGCCTTTTTCCATTTCATTTCTCTTCCTATATCTGTTTTATTACTATATTTTGACACACATTTGTCGCAACATGGTTTAGGTGATGAGTCCTGGAATGATTTGGTGCAAAATCCAGCTAAATGGTGGGATAATAGATTAGAAAAGGTAACCCCATTTTTGATTTGTCTCGGGGCTTTTAAATCCCTACAAGTTGATTTCACTCTTCCTTAGATTTGTTTTATTGAGTTAATGTTTCATTCTGAACATTTCAGAGGAATGCAAGATATCCAGATTTCAGGCACAAAGATACTGGTGTAGGGCTGTGGCTTAAAGGTTCACCAAGTTGGGTGTTACCAAAATTGCCACCCTTGAAGCCTAAACAAGAAAGTGCTCAAACTAGCTGAAAACACACACCAGTTTCACGAGCATTAGAAAAAGAAGCAGAAATTGAAATCATTTGCGAAGTTGGATACATCTTTTTTTGTGTGTCAGTTCTTGATGTTTCCCCTCCATGTAACTTGTTAGTGCCTTCTTAAAGTTCTGATACGTAAAAATTATAGCAACTCAGCATTTGGCTTAAGATTTTGAAAGTTATATTAGTTATTTCTCTTGTGCACATATGGTTTTCATCAGAATTTTTGTTATTTCTGAGCATTATTTTACTTTATAAAGAAAAGGATAGTTCTCAGCCATTTGGTGAACCTAGTGTCACCAGAGTTATTTGAAATGCATAGAGTAATTATGTGTTTGTAATAATTTGACTTTCAAGATGAAGTTAGCTTGTCCATCTTTATTTTCATTTGTTGACAGTTCATACAGATGAAAACAATATCCATTTAGAATTGATGAGTTATACAAAAACATGAATAGAATACATTGATAGCATTCTTCCTTATGAATGCATAAAAGCATTAGAGTTGTATTTTTGGTCAGAGGATTACCAAAAACAATATGAAGAAAAATAAGGAAACATTTTTTATGTCTCAATTAAAGTTGATTAGTTTTAAGATTACTGTTTAAGGCTTGTGTAAAACTCTTCCAGCCAGTAAAGCAGCTTCCATGACTACCTTGATTACTTCAATAACATCATCTGCTTGGCATGTGTTTCCTTTGAATGTAGGAGCCTTTGTGTTCTTAAATTTCTCCATGCAGTCTATGAATGTTTGGCTGCACTGTTGGCTCAAGTAGTCATCTGCTTAAGATAGAAACCACCATTAGTTACTTACATTATTGTGCTACATAAATTAACTAAGATACACCTACCTAACTATATAACCTTGATAAAGCATATCATATTTTTTTCTGTTGTGAAAATTATCAGTTTGTGTGAATGAGAAGTGTCATGGATTAGATAACATCTAGAAATGAAGTAATTAAATAAAGGCTCATGATTAGTCTTTATCTATATGTAATACATAAATTTCATAACAGACACATGACCTATTTATTGTTAAAAGTAATTTTATTTGGTAAAAAGTCCCTATCAGCTACCAACCATCTTATTTCATTTCAAGGTATGTTTGATAACCCAAATTGAAGATCTAGTTTCTAAAATGACTTGATAATTCTAATTCTCTGAGCTATTTTTTTTAGTTGAGTTAGACTTAACTCTGAATTCTATTAAAAAGATACAAGATATATATATATATATATAAAAAGAACTCACTATTTTTGGCTGTGACACATTGATCATGGCTCATACAACAAGCATCAAGGCCATCACAAGGTTTTTCACCAGGGCATCCACTATACAAAAGTCCACAATACTTTCCATATCTCAACAATGGAGGCACTGTCATTCCAAAAAAATATCAGAACAATGTACAAAAAATATATAAAAAAATACTAATTACAACTAACACATGTATGTACCTGAGCAGAAACTTGACTCACATTGTCTGCTACACTCTTTGCTCTACAGAAAAATGAAAAGATAGTTAAATAAAATCAAGAAAGTCGTAATTTTACACATGTTAAGACATAATTAATATATGCTTACAACAGAAACAGCTACTCCAGTGGTTTCAGCTCCTATGTTGAGGGCATAAGCAGGAGTAGTTAACAAATTGAAGACACAAGTGAGAAACAAGAGAATAGAACACTTTAATAACTGTGTTACAACCATGTTTAATTTTTGTATGCAGAAGCAAAAAAAAAAGTGAGATTAATTGAAGTTTGAGAAGGTTAGTTTATGATTTATAGAATGAAAAGGAAAAAAAAAGTAAATGAAAGAGATTTGAGAACAAAAAGTCTTACAAAGACAAAGTGAGGAAGAAAGCTTGGCAGGTGATTTGTTTTGTAGTGTCTCGTGACTGTTTTGTTTTCGTTATATTATTTTTATCTTATCCTAAGTTTTTGACTTCATTAGCTGCATTATTAATTTTAATACATTGCTGTTATCGTGTAATAATGATGTTGAAGAAGTTAAATTTTTGAAAACACTAATTATGTTGATAATTTAAAATTAAGAATCTATGAAAAGTTGAATTCTAAGCCTGTTTTTGGTGAAGACTAGTTTCATTCTGTGTGTCAACTCGTGAACTACTTATGGGCGATGGATATTGTTTGTTTATGGCAACTGTCTCTGAGCAACAATAATGGAAGTGTGTTGTATAGTACTCACTCTGCACCAAAATAATCATTAAATAAATGACATATTTCACTTATTTTTTCAATTGTAGAATTTATTTAATATTATTTGTATTATTTTTTTATTAAAAATATTTGTATTATTTTTAAATGATCTTTCTCTTTTACATTTATGATAAACATAAATACACATACAGATATTTTAATCAATTGTTTATTTTCCATTTATACATATTTATAATTTATGTGAACAGATTAACTCAACTATTATGAACCAGATACAATATTATATTTAACTAGTATTTAAGTTGATATGATATTTTGTTACATTTTTAATGATTTTTATTTTTCCGCTGTGGTTATGAGTTAATATTTTATAATTGTTAACATTAAATTTGGCCTATAGACTTAGACTATCTTTGAATAAGTTGTTATTAGGTCACCGACATGTGTATTAGAAATAAAATTATATATTTTTTATAATAGTTGTTATTTTATTTTTTATTTTACATATATAATTATTTTATAGGAAATTTAAATTATATTTGCAGGAAAAAAAAGAATTGAGTTTTTAAATTAAAAATATTAAAAAATATCTTTAAAAAAATATATAGTTAAATAAAAAATAATAATATTATAAAGTTTTGTTTAGATGACTTGTATTGCAATTAAAAGATATTAAAAAATATCCAAAAATATATATAAAGTTAAATAAAAAATAATAATATTATAAAATGTTGTTTAGATGACTTGTATTGTAATTAAAAGAAAAAAAGATTAACCCTATAATGTTTTTTTTGTTAGAATTTTACAAATTATAAGAAATTATAGAATGAAAACCAATATCATTTAAATAAATTGGACACTTAACAAACTCTCAACCTGATCTTACCGGATCAGAAATGGACCGTCACAATTGGCTCGGGCAGAAGTTGAATGAGATGGGGGGTACCTGCAACACACTCCGATGGCAAAGTAAGAAGCGGAATGAGCAAACAAGTATGAGTTTAGAGATGAATTGAATACGTGATCCTCTTGAGAGAGAGGGTATTTATACCCCCAACGCTGGGCCAAGGTTCTCACTCTTGGGCCACGTGGAGGTCCAATAACAGAAACTGTTAGGGCTTACGTGTGTATGGAGTCCAGCAAGTGGGCTTCCCCCTGGTCAACTACTCCGCGATAATAGGGTTGGACCCGTGATTTCCGGAGGGCAGTTTGGGATGTCTGTCACGGGATCGTGGGCCATGTCCTCCAACGGTCGGATGGGGAGTTGCCCAACGGTCCCTAACTTGGGTTGTCTTTGGGCTTCCCGTTCGAAGGGCAACTGTAGGCCTAATCTAGATTAAGAGCCCCCCAAGTTATTATCCTTGAGCTAGAGGATGGTGACTTGAGTTCAGCTCTCGATACCGGAGACTTGGTCGAGGTAGAGGGCCAAAGTCCCCGAAAAGGGGCGAGTCATTGCCCACGTGGGGCCAAGCTCGAGTACGTTGGGGAATATCATGGATAAGCGGGGAGCGGGATCGAAGGGGTCAACCGCTTTCTCGAGAGGACGTATTAGTGATGGGGAGCCTCTACGAGATTCCCTTTGACATGCCCGTCTTCTGGGATTTGTTAGTTTGTCGAGCATTACCTCGTCCCCGAGGTGGTTGTCTAGATGCGCCCCTACGTGCACTCTAATGTCGAGTATTTCCTCGTATAGGTATCTGCTTCGTATGTGTTTGGGGGCGACACGTAGGAGTCGGGCGTATGATCGCTAGTACAGAAGGGACTCGTGGTTGATAGTTGATCCACGTGGCTAGTGCTTTGGGGTGCCATCCCTTTAAGGGAAAAGCAAAAGGGGCCAATGAAATGATGACCTTTCATGAGGGATCCCTTGGGGCGTGGGTAACCTATAAAAGGGGGCCCTTAGGTCTCATTTGTCATCTTCTCAAGTTTCCTCTCAATCTCTTCTTTGCTCGTGGTGTGAAGCGATTCTCTCAATTTTAGTTTTCTTTGCTCGTAGTGTGAAGTGATTCTCTCAACTTCTTAGATTCTCTCTCCAAGTTCTTCATTCAAGTAAGTTATAACCTCCTAACACCATGTTTCTTGAGAGTTTCTGGATTAAATTTCAAAATTTTGCCTTGATTAGATGAACACTCATGAGTTTTATGATGAATACTCATGAGTGTTCGTTTGAGTTCATGGATTCCGTGTCGAGCACTCATGAATGTGCCGGGCACTTATGAACATTCATTAGATACAGTGTCGGGGGCTTCCCCGGACAATGTCTATAACAAGGGATGGTTTCCTAGGATATAGGGGGTATCCTGGGCTTTTTGCTCGGTGAGTGATCCCCCAACAACATTTCCTCGTAATGTAATGGTCCGCTTTAGCGTGTCAAGGGCTTGGGTCGAGTTCGTCGCCCTTTCACTTGATCTACGGTGGAAGGGTGGATTTGATAATGTCGAATTCACTAATTTCCCCTGCTTTTCAGGTATAATGTCGCGTTCAGTCAGGGACGCCCTTTTGGCCGCCCATCACGAAGACGAGACCCATACCGACGAGGACCCTTTGGCTTGGGTCGCTCCTGAGCCCCGGGATAAACGATCGTGCTTTTCCCAGGATGCTACAGATGTGTTCAATTTCCCGGAGGAATACGCAGAAGGGGTCCCGGCCAATTGGATGCTCCAAATCCCCCATCAGGACCGAAGGATATGCTCGACGTATCCGGGAAAACGGTTCCCCATGTACGAATTCTCTTTCAAAGAGGCGGGGATGCGCTTGCCCTTCAATGATTTCCAGGTCGGGGTTTTCCAGTGGCTTCAGTTGGAGCCTTCCCAACTTCATCCGAACGTGCTGGCGTTTATGCGGGCGTTTAAGCTCGTCTGCCAGTACCTGGGGATAGGCGCCACGCTGCCCCTTTTTTCCGCATCTTTCACCTACAAAGACAATCTGTCTGAGGGGGGCAGGCATGGGTATCCTTCAAGCAGTTAAGGAAACTCTTCCGACCTTATCTAGAGTCCGTCCATAATTTTAAAGAGAGGTACTTCATCGTGAAGCCCCTGACGGTCACGGCTATAGATTCTCTCTATACCCGTGTGAAGAGGTGGAGGACGGGCGGCTAGTTACCCGACTTATGGCCAAATTCCCGCTTGAATGGCAGTGGGAGCATTATGAAAAAAGGCCCGAATACTATGCAGTGAAACCCGAGGACTTGGACGCCCAAGACCAGCTTTCATACGAGAAGCTTTCGGCTTATGTTAAAAGTTTCTCCCCCGCGAAGTGCATGGACGTGAACAACAACCTATTGTTCGACGACGAGGGGAAGTATCTCTTAGTAAATAGGTTTATCAACACGAAGGCCTTGCTCGAGTGATCCTCGAATGGGGAAGCCATGAGGCTTTTGGGTAAGAGGCATAGCCGTTAATTTACTCCTCTTTATGCGGGGACGTGCCCGCGCTGTTTTTATTTTTCCAACTCGACTAACGATTCTTTTTGATTGCAGGTCGAATGGCATCTCTTTCCGAGTGTCTGTTGAGGATGAGGCCCAAAAACGCATCCACTTCTGGGCCATAAAACAGAGTCGCCCAGCTTCAGGAACAGGCCAAGTCTTCTGGTCGGGCCAGTGGTTCCCCTTCCTCATCAAAAAATCCCGCTTCTTCTACTGATCCGGCCCAGATTCCCATCAATGAGCCTGTGACTAAGAGGAAGCATGCATATAACGCTGCGGGCGTAACGCCCGAGGGTGACAAAACACCCACAGGGGTTTTTGTATTGCCTCCTTGCTATCTAAACCGCGACCTCTTCAGCAAGGAGAACTCCTTCGGCATGCGCGAGGAAGAGAGGGAGGCAATCTCGACCGAATACAAGGAGGTTCTGTTGTACCCCAAAATTTGCCCTCCCATATTCTTCAAAGTTTTGACAAGCATCATCTCAATTTGCTCAAGTCTACTCAAGGGGTTGCACAGTCAAACATCCTCCTAAGCCAAGTCAAACTAGGGTTTTGGTTCTTGCAAAGAAGTTGAGGTTTTCAATGGCTTAATCAAGTCTCATGTGCCTATATACATTGTCAAGCATCTACATGCCAAGTTTCAAGGCTCACAAGGTCAAGTTGCACAGTCAAAAGCCCTAATTGCTTCACAGTCAACTATAGGGGTAAAATGGTCATTTGGCAGTCAAAAGTTAGAATTTTTGGTCAACATCTTATTTTGAAGCCACAATCATCATTTGATCAATTCTTGATCATGATTCCACAAGAATGGCTCAGAAATCATCAAAGATGCAAAAGTTTCCATTTTTGGACAGTTGAAAAGTCAACTGTAACTTGACCAAGGCATAACTTTTTCATGGTTCATTAGAAAAATCCCATCCAATTCTCATTTTGAAGGGGATGACATTTCCTACAACTCATCTTCACATTCCAAGTCCAAGAAATGCTCTCACAAAAAGTTATCAATTTCAACATTATAGGTCATTTTCAAAAGTCAACAAAAAGGCACTTTAAGTCAAAGACCATAACTTGATATTGGTAAATCAAAATGACATGGGACCAAAGGC